AAGGGAGATGGTGGTCGGTGACATGTACCACCACCCTGTGAACCTGGGTTTTAAAGAATGACCAGATACCATTAGGACTGTTTGGATTCTTACTGATTTCCCCCATATCAATGGGCTGGAGTTAAGGAGTACTGTTGTGATTAGGCTCTCACTATGGGCTAAAGACTAGAAGATTTTCATGGTGGAAATTGGAACTGAAGCTATGGATTGGGCAATGAGCATCAGGATCTAGGGATTGGAGGCTCACCATGCTCCCCCTTCCCAGTTCGGTGTCTGGACACACTGAATACAATTCGACCATAGCAGATTGCCATGGCTGTCAGAGGTATCAGGAAGAGCCCACAGAAGGTGAAGAGGTTATAAGCGATTTCTTGCCATCGGGCCTTGAAGCTTCCTTTGGTGACACACTGAATGAAGGGGACTGGGCCAGCACGGCGGACAGTATGAAACAGGAACAGCTGGAGTGGGGTGCAGTATAAAACAAAGACTTCCACCTTATGTCATAATATTCCCACTACCATCCCCTCACCCCTACCATACAGGCAAGTTAATAGGGCAGTATTGGTTAGGGCAACAGTATATCCATGATGCCAACCACAAAAAAAAAACAAAACTGAGTATAAACATCCACTTAAAGGCTTGTGTGTCCCCAAATTTAGCTGTATTCTGTTTTAGCAAAACTTGACCCGTATGAGGAGGGTGTTTTGTTTTTTTTTTCATTTTAGCCACCTAGCCAATAACTCATGGTGCTAGTTTGCCTGTGTGTGGACAAGATAAGTTCTATTTAAACAAAAAATACTGTATAAAGGATGCTGTTCAGAAACCTACTTAAGCAGTCAATCTATTTAACAAAATGTTCTTTGAGTAAGAACGTGTATTGTAACTATTGAAAGTATTAATAAAAATTGACATTTTTAAAAAAAATGTGTTGGTCATTTGCATATTGTTTTTGCTTGGAGACTGCAGGGCTGTTGGCTTTCATTCCAGCAATGGAAGCAGAAATACCCTGGCATCTAAATGAATAGGTAAATCATGCTTGGAGGCCTCTAGAGTTTCAGCAGAAAGGGGAGGAAATGTTACAGAAATGGGAGGACAATAGCTGAAGGGTTAACCAGTTGCTTGGAACTTTGATCTGCTCTGAGCTGACTGGGGATAGGGAAGTGGCAAGATGTAAAGTAGTCAGGAGGGGACACTGGACCAGGAATCTGAAGATAGGAGTTCCAGTCTATTTCTACAAGTTAGTAACCAAATGTAATCAAATACTAAACCAGCTTCAGATATAATTGGGTGCGTGACCCTGGCCAAGTCACTTAACCTTTGCCTTAGTTTCCTCAGATGTAAAATAGGGATAATAGCATCTACCTTGCATGGTTGATGTGAGAGTATGAAATAATATTTGTAAAGTGCTTGGCACAGTGCCTGGCACATAGCAGACCCTATATAAATGCTTATTTCCTTCCTTTTTCCTTTGTTGACCAAATCAACCTTTGGACAGGTCAGAACCTCTCAGATTGTTGAATATAAAATGACAATAATGACCTATACTATCTAGCTCATACGGTTTTAAGTAAATTGCTAATTGATATATGTAAGCTCTTTTTACCACCAAATCACTTCCCTCAAAACAACTCTGTGCAGTAAGTAGCACAAGTTAATAACAGTTGACTTGCCCATAGTCTCAATGGCAGAGCTGAGAAGAAAACCAAGCGCTGACTCAGACCAGTAAGTGATCAAGCAATACCTGGGCTGTTTACAGTACAGTTCTAGGGATCAAATGATATAATCAATGCAAAAAATATTTTTTTTTAAACCACCCTCCTTGTAAATAAAAGGGATAATTTTTTTTTTTCCCCTGGGTATTCACTGTTTTCTTATTTTGCCTTCTAATGCTCAGAAACAACCTTGCCATTTTGGGAAGGGAGAAGGCAATGGATAAAAATAAATGACCAGGGATCTAATCCTTCTATCTAAACTGAAAATGAAAGCCCACGGGTTTTACAAACTATATTAGCTCCTTCGGTAGCTGCTGGTGGGTATGTGGAAAAGTCAGTGTTTGGTGCAAATCTAAATGGACTCAAATAACCAGATGTCTAACCCTTCTCCATGTTCTAAAAGTAGATTAAGGCTCCAAGCAATCCATAGCACTTACATTTACCACAATAGTCTCAGTCTTCCTATTCTTTCCTTTGATCAATAAAAGATTAATACAACCTTAGAGCAAGAAGGGACTTTAGAGACTATGTGCCCCAACCCCTTCACTTTATAGAGGAGGCAATTCAGGCCCAGAGGTAAAGTGACTTATCCAAAGTCACAGCAAGTTAGGAGAAATCTTTCAATACGTTCATAATTTCTTTTGCTGAAACTTCCCCTTCTAAATGTCTCTGGCACCTGGAAACTTAATAAATGTAAGCAGGCAGTCTAATCAATTTAATAACTTTAAACATCTTATACATATATTGAACTCTAAAACACCAACACATTTTTAAAATTGTCAAATTTTATTAAGAAAAAAATTGCATCTATTAAAGTGATAGCAAAAAACTAACATTCATCTCAGTTATCTTGGAACTGACAAAACATCCCCTTTTGCAAAATATTTCTCCTACCTCCAAACCACCATTATTAGTTTGTTGGTATTGATACAGGGTTCGTAACTAATTTTGGCTTTATATAAAAGAAGAAAATCATTAGGGTAATTCCTCCTTCCCTTGTAGCCATAGGTTTCTTTACAGTTAAGGATGAGTTACTTGGAACGTTGACTACTCATTGGATAAAATACTTGTTTGTCTTAAAACCATAATTAGGATTGCTTTCAGTATTCTCATATATCTTCTCTAGCTGTAGCTCTCGGTACCACCTAGTTTCTGTCTTGTGGAAATTAGTGATTTTTAATAATTTTGTAGATTTAGATCCCCTTATTGCAGTAAAAACAGCACTAGCTTAGAGTCAGAAAACTTGGATTCTAGTTCAGGCTTTTCAGTTCATTGGCTGTGTGAACTAGGGGAAATCACTTAATATTTCTGAGCCTTGGTTTCCCCTCTTGTAGAATGGGAATATTCAATCAATAAACATTTATTTTTAAACATTACATGCACTACCTAACTCATAGTGCTGTTGTGAGCTCAAAGGAGAAGTACATTAAGCATTTTGTACCTGTACTTAAAGTGCAGTACTTGTAAATGAGCATTTTTTTCTTAGATCCTTCCAAAATGAAAAATCCCAGCTGCTCTGTCACCGAGGTAGCTAGGGTTTTGTTTGTTTTGGTAAAAGAAAAAAAAAAACGTTTGTTTTCGTTGCTTTTTTTCCTCTAACCTTTTGAAGCTTCCCGGTTGATTGATTTAAGATTTGATCGTCAGAACTGCCTGAAGCATTCAAGTTCTGTCATGCACCATAAATTTGCATACTATGATTTCAATTTACTTCACTCCTTCACTTCAAACCTTTCTTATTTCCTGCTACAATAGCCTCTCCTCGTTTACGGTAGAGTTGGAGGAAAAGTGAGAAGAGAGAAACTGAAGTTTGGGGGACCCACTGGAAAGTGAGAGAGAAGCCTTACAGAAAAACGGAAAGCGGGACGGAGCAGATAGCCCTTCCAGGGGTGGGTGGGCTATCTCTCTGCATTTCAATTTTACGTAAATTGTATGTAAATAAACGTTGAAGGACAAAGAAGAGGTAAAAGAGATCTTTTCCTTGAGTTCCCTGGGTAGGGTAGGTAGGTAGGTAATACCTTGACTCCTCCGGCTTACACTCTTTCGGTCACTCACCTGGGGCAGGGCAAGCAGAAAACTAAGCCCCCAGGCCGTTCCCAGCAGCTTTCGCCCACCCCCTCGGGGTCCAAGAGGATGGAGCACGGCAGCCTGGCGGTCAAGTCCAATGACCACAGGCAGAAAAGCAGCCGCGTACATGGCCAGCAGTTTCAGGAACATGAGTGTCCGGCAAGCAACATCTCCAGCGAGCCACTGCACTGTGGCATTCCACGCAGCATCCAGCGGCATGACTACGAAAGTGACCAGTAAGTCTGCAGCGGCCAAGTGGCCAAAAAGTCGGCGGACAGGGGAGGGACGGAGTCTACTGGATCTTGGCCGCGTCACTGACCACAGCACAGCCAGATTCCCTGCAGCCGACGACAGGAACAGGGCAGCGGTCACTCCTACTCGGACCTTGGCGGCGGTTGAGAAGGTGGGAAGCGCTGACTCCTCCACCTCGACCCCCGCTCCCGCCCAAGCTTCCTCTCCGGCTGAAGAGCCCCAGACTGTGTCATTGCCCATGGACATAGCTGCAGGGGGGAAGCGGCCGGCTCGGGCAGCCCATCCCTTCCCCCGCCGGGCCAGGGGCTGGTGCCGGTCATCGTGGTCTCCGACCGCATCGGTCGCCAGCCTCAGGAACCCTCCCCATCTTTGGCTGCTGCGTGTCCAGCTCCGCCCCGTTGACCGGAACTCAAGGTCCCATGCACTTGTCCAGCCCGCGGGGGGCTTCCCTGGCCCTCCTGCTCCGTGCCCAGACCCGGCTGGCCGAGTTCTCCGGTGCTGCGTCCCGGGTGCGCCGCGGTCCGGCGCCCGCTCCGCAGCTGGAGGTCACTGCGGCTGCGGCTCAGCACTCCAACCTCCCGCCGGCCCCGCCCCCGCCTCCCCAGGCCCCGCCTCTCGCTGGTCCCACCTCCCCCTTCCTCCGCGGGCAAGTGCATTTAAAGGCGGCGGCTGCCGAGTGTCCCCAAGCACCGCGCTGGAAGTCGCTCCGGTCTCTGGGGCGCGGGGAAGTCGGTGGAGATGACGGAGACTCCCGGCGCGCCCGAGCCTCTAGAGGAAGCCGAAGCGCCGGCGGAGATGGCGGGCCCCGGCGGGCCCCCGCCCGGCCTCGGCTACGAGGGGCGGGGCCTCCGCGCGCTTTGCTTGGCGCCCGAGTTTGTCCCTCGCGCGGTGCCGTCGGGTTCTGCGGCGGTGGGCGTGGGAAGGGGAAAGGAGACGGGCCCAACTGGGCAGAACTGGGCCGCAGAGCCGGTTAGTGGACCTCGGTGCCGCAGGCATGGATGCCTGGGTCCGCTTCAGCGCCCAGAGCCAGGCCCGGGAGCGCCTGTGCAGGTGCGGCCGGGGCCGGGGGGCGCGAGCGGGGACGCACACCTTTGCGGTCAGGTCGGGCTACGCGGTGGGAAAGGGTCAGCCCCGGGTACGGAGGCCCGGAGAGACCGACCCCTGGGCGAGTGTGCGGGAATGCGCAGGGCGAGTTGTGAGGGAATGACTCGTTTCCGCCCGCAGGACAGATGGGGAAACTGAGGCATGGGTTGGGGGCAGGACGGGGAGGGGTGGAGATCCCGACGACCAGGCTCCCGCGGAGACGGACTTGGAGCCGCCCGACCGCCACCGGTCCCCGCTGCTCGCTGCGGGGCCTCCGAGGGTCTCATGTCCAAGTGACCCAGGCGGTGTTGGGGGCGGGGAGGGAGCCGGCTGGGCCGCGGCGCTGGGTGGAGTCTGTGAACTCTGCCTTGGAGCGGGACGTGCCCAGACCCCGCCCCCAAGGCCGGGAGCCCCCAGGCCCTCCGAGGAGCTCCAGCTCACCCCTCCATCTCTCCGAGGCCGCCTGGATGCACAGCCCTTCTTCTTCCCAGTGTCCATTTCCTTCTTCTTTCTTTGCTTTAATCCATGCTTCCCTTCTCCCCGACCAGCCCATAGCTTCTCTTCTCTCTCACCTTCCTCACCCTCCCTCCCCTATGACCTTCACTGGTTCCGCTGCCCCCTCCCCGCTCTTCTCCGCTGCTCAGAAGGGCAGAACGGGGAACCTGGGGAGTGGGTTTGTGCGGGAAGGAAGCTGCCTTGGATCGGGGGTGTGCGAGTCTTAAGGAAGGTGTCTGCTGGGGGAGGAGGTGTTTCAGTCTGACTTCCACACCACCCTCTTCCAGCCCCTACCCCCTCTCCTCCTTCTCATAGGGCTGCCCAGTATGCCTGCTCTCTCCTTGGTCACGCGCTGCAGAAACATGGGGCAAGTCCTGAACTTCAGAAGCAAATACGACAGCTGGAGGGCCATCTGAGCCTTGGACGAAAGCGTAAGTGACTCTTTTCTCCTCTGAATAGATGAGGGTAAGGCATTCTGTAATTACCTCTGACTTCCTTTCTTAGTCCCTCCCTCCACCTTTTCTCTCCCTTCCTGTATTGTACCAAAAATCTCTTTTTAAATAAATGTTTTATGGATACTCTTTTATTTTTTTAAACGTCTCTATCGTTTCTCACTGATTGTTGCATTACCTCCTCAATCTTTCCTTGTAAGTAAGTACAGTTAAGCAAAGCAGATCCACACATTATCCGTGTCTGACCATGCAGGCTTTATTGCACACTTCTAGGCTCCATCTCCCTCAGGATAAGGGAGCAGGCATGCCTCCTGTCAGTCAAGATTGGTCACAGCATTGATTAGAGTTTTAAAGTTATTAGTTGTTGTTTATCTGCAATATTGTGGTCATCATTTCAGTTGTTCACCAAGCTGTTTACTTCACACTGTCTCAATTTATGGGGATCTTCCCAACTTTCCCTAAATTCTTCATATTTGATGTTTCTTATGATACAGTAATATTTTATTACATTCACATACCACAATTTGTTCAGCTGTTCTCCCATCAGCAGGGTTGTGTTTCTTTCCATTTCTTTGCTGCTACAAAAAAGTGCTGTTATAAATATTTTCGTATATATGGAGTCTTTTCCCACTGTCTTTGACCTCTTTGGAGTGTGTGCCTAGTCATAGTATCACTGGATTAAAGGGTACATACAATTTAGTGACTTTTCTACTGTAATACCAAATTGTTTTCTAACATGCTCAGACCAGATTGGAGCTCCACCAACAGAAGATTTTTGTGCCTCTCTTTCCACAAACCCTGAAACATTTACCATTTTTGTCTTTTGTTATCTTTGCCGGTTTGATGATTGTGAGGTAACCTTGTATTTTTAATTAGTCTTTGTCTTATTAGAGATTTGGAATACTTATATTCTTGTTGATAACTTGAATTTCTTTTGATAACTGTCTGTTCATTTCCTTTTGTCACTTATCTGTTGGGTAATAGCTCTTGTTCTTATATATTTATATCAATTCCCTGTTTATCTTCTGTATGTTACTTTTATCAGAGATCTTTGCTGCAAAGATTTTTTTGTTCCAGTCAACAGCTTCTCTTCCACTTCTAGCAGTATTATTCATGCAAAAGCTTTTCAGTTTTATGTAATTGAAATGACCTATTTTATCTTTTATGATCACCATTTTTCCTGGTTTGATTAAGAATGAAATGCTCTTCCAGCCATAGCTTTACCCCTCACTCTTATTTCACAGTTGAGGTGGCAGGAAGGCAGAGTACAAGTAGGGGATTGGAAAGGGGTGGGATGATTAAAACTGTGGACCGAAGGGAAATGGAGAAAATGTGATTATAGAGTTTGAAGTTTTCAAAGATGAAGAAATGAAACTTGTCTGTCTCAACCCTCAGCTTACTTCTTGCTTTTGTCCTGTTGCTTATTCACTGGCACGCTCTGTCCTCAGCCTTGTTTTGTCTGCCTGTGGCTGTCTTGTTCATCTCTCTCCGTACTTGCTGCGTGTGCCTCTCCTGTCTCACCTGTCCCCTTGCCCTTTTTCCCATCCAGTTCTTCGCCTGGGTAACTCAGCAGATGCCCTCGAGTCCGCCAAACGGGCTGTGCATCTGTCAGATGTCGTCCTTCGATTCTGCATCACTGTCAGCCATCTCAATCGAGCCTTGTACTTTGCCTGTGACAATGTCTTGTGGGCTGGAAAGGCTGGGTTGGCACCCCTTGTGGACCAGGAGAAGTGGGCCCAGCGTTCATTCAGGTTAGAGACCTCTCTGCCGTTGGACTTCATCCCACTTTGGGAACCCTTTAAGTAAGACCTTGGGAAATGAGCCTTTGGTGAGAGCTGGCCACCCCAAACCAGCACATCTTGATTCCCCTGGATTCTAATCTGCCATTGTGTGCTAAATGGGGGTGAGGGGATGTGTAATGGATAGAGCATTGGATTCTCAGTCTGAAGACTTGGATTCAAATCCTGCTCTGACTGCTCTTGACTACAGTCATCTGATCGCTTTGGACCACAGCTTCCCCGTTTATAAAAACAGGGACAATAGTACTGTTGTCCACTTTAAAGGGTTTTTTATGAGGTTGAAATATGATAGTGTGTATAAAGTCTTTTTCAGTCTTTAAGGCACTATATAAAATATCTATTGTTATTATTAAAAGATGCCAAGAATTTATGGAACATGAGACATTAGGTTTTGTGGCACTTTGAGGTGACCTTTGAGTCAGGAAAACCTGGGTACAAGTGTTGCCTCTGACACATTGGCAGTGTGACCTTGGGCCCCAAAGATAACCACTCAGTGCTCATCTCTCTAAGACTAGAAGGTGTAGAGAAGGTGCAGATCTGCATTGGTCTTCACTGGAAGCTTTCTAACCTGATGAAATCCCAGATCAAATCGGAAATTGGGAGCAGCCGTAGCCTGGTTGTGGTACCCTCCTTTGCCTTTCCTTTCATTCCTTACTGTCCCTGTCCCCAATCTCTGGTCTCTATTGTTTCCATATGTCTGCCTTTCTCCTTATTCCTCCTCTCATCTCAACCTTCTCTCCTAGTCATTTGCCAGTGTAGACATGATCGTGGCTGTTCTCTGGAAGTACCAGTAAACTTCCTTATTTTTGAGTGTCCACTGTACCTAGAGCTCTGTACCAGGTGCTGTTGAATAGATACAAAAAAGGTGAAGTGCTTGGCCTCAAGGATTTAAATTCAGTCACATAAGTATTAAGCGTCTACTGTGTGCCAAGCACTTTTGTAGGCCCTGAGGATTTCGGGAAAGAGTCTTTTCCATTAGAGAGCTTACATTAGACAGTAACTTAGAATCTCCCATAGGTAAGGAGACTAAACATACACCAGAAATAAGTGAGGCTCATTTTTGTAGGGAAAAGGTGCATGTTAATGCAGTATAAACTGAATGTCTAAGTTCTAAGTATAGCAGTGAGCCAAGTTAGGTGAAGTTAGCCTGGAAAGTTCCCTAAATTTCGAGCAAGGTTTTGAAGGTAGAGAGAAAGTTGAATTATTAATGGAAAAGTAGGAAGACATTCCAGAATGGGGAAAAGGCATGTGCTTGGGGGTGATCTGATGTGATTTTCTTAGCAAATTAAAAGAGAAGATTACTGACTGATCCCTGGGGCACTGAGCTCAGATTTCCCTCCATCTTATTGATCCTTTTTACCCTGTGCCTCTGTCCCAGGTATTACTTATTTTCTCTCATCATGAATTTGAGCCGTGATGCCTACGAGATACGACTGCTGATGGAACAGGAGTCTTCAGCTTGTGGCCGCCGGCCAAAGGGGTCAGCAGGAGGGACCCTGGGAGGCGGTGAAGCTGGGGGTACAGCGTGGGTCAGTGCCCCAGGAGGGAGTCTGCCCCATCTGGCCCTGCAGCTTCGGCTTCGAGTTCTTCTCCTCACCCGGGTCCTCCAAGGCCATCCCCCCCTCCTGCTGGATGTGGTCAAAAATACTTGTGATCTCTTCATCCCACTGGACAAGCTGGGCCTATGGCGTTGTGGCCCTGGAGTTGTGGGGTTCTGTGGTCTGGTGTCATCCATCCTGTCTATCCTTACCCTACTCTGTCCCTGGCTCCGACTCAAGCCCTGAAACCAAAATTCTAGGGTGGAAGAGAGTCTGAGCTGGGAATGGGGAGAGGTGGCAGGTTCTGTTGTTCCATCATCCCCCTGACTTCCTTTTAGTTAAAACTCAAGCTTGAAGAATTACAGATGAAGAGTGACTAGGGGGTAAAGGGCAGCCCTTGGATTCAATGGGAGAATTCTCTTCCTCTCTTACTGCAATGGTTCTTTGTCTCTTGAGTCTCCTCTTGCTATTTTTAAATTAAAATTTATTTTTTTTCAGTCAACAAAAATCCTCCTTCTCTCCCTCCCACTGAGAAAGAAAAACACACCCCCAGTCCGAACATGTATGGTTATTTTACTTTTTTCCTAGTCTCTCTCACATTTGTTTCTGAGACTCTTTAAATTCCTCCTCATTCTCCATCATAGTTATTTAGTTATTAGCCACATTTCCCTTGATGGAAGAAGAGAGACCCCAGATTTTGATCCATCATGCCTTAGCTGTTTCCCGTTCAGTGCAGAGGATGATTGGGCAGATGGAGAGTCTTGGGGCTTATGTGGGAGAATGGCTCAGCAATGTCTCCTCCCAGCTCCTTTTCCCTGGGTGCCATGTTTTCCTTTCCAGAGCCATTTGGGTTTTCTCCTCTCATCTCATCTCCCACCTTCCCCTTGATTGGCCCTTCCTGTCTTCACTCCTGTATTTCTGGTAATGGCTTCTGTTTCTCAGCCCTTTGTACCTTCTCCCCAGGTCCACTCCCTCCCCGTGATGCTGTCTGTGTTCAGCATCCTGTTGTAAATACTGTACAATGAAACTGTAAATAGCTTTGGCCAAAGCCCCCGCTGGCTTGCCGACTCAGAAGGGCAGCGAATTAAAGAAGAGTCTTGCTCATTGGCCTTCGGTTTGGTCACTTGGATAGTCTGGCCGTTTTTGGCCTCTGCTCGAGCCTTGCAGGCTGTCTGTGGTGTTGGTCATCATCCTCAACTATTGATGGGCTCAGGGTGCCAAGCTCAGTACTAGAGATAAAGAAGGGACATCGGGAGGCCATGACCCCTGTCATCGGGGGTCTCAGCTGGCATAACTATAAAATGATGAGACTGCTTCCACAAGCCACGTGTGAGAGTCATGCCTTGCTCTTAAAACACTCCAAGCTTATTAATCTACAGAATCAGGAATAGAAGAAGCTTGAGGTCTACACCCCAACTTGTGACGGAATGAATCCTGCTTTGTGGTGCAGGGAGGGACCTCGGCCTCTGTCAGTACTTGTACCTTCCTTATCCCAGATGAATAAAATCAGCCTAGGGAATCCTAAATACCCCGGCCACTGAGAGAGACAAACTGAATGACAAAGAATGGGAGAGGGGTGATAGATGGGGAACTTCAAAAGATGTCTCTGCCTGGCCTTCTCAGTGAGGCCACCAGGGGGCAGAAGGGGAGGGTGAGAAGCTCAGTGAGACAGCCCCTTGCTTTGGCATGGGGCTCCCTCCAACTTCCCCAGCATCCCTCCTCCTGGCCAGTCTGACTTTATTTTTAGCTGCCAATGGGAGGGGGCGGGACGGGAGGGTAAGTAAAGAAAACAAAACGGGACAGGAGCACAGAGGACTCCTCAGAGAGACAGAGGAACAGCCAGGAATGGAGCTCTCCCTCACCCCTCACCTCACTCTACCACTCTTGCTCCTGGCAGGTGAGGGAGGTTAACTATTTGGGACTTGGTGGGGAGGGAGGTCTGTGGGATGGCTTAGGACTGGGACCTTAAAGGTAAAAATGTCCTTTTCGGGGGAGGTGACACCCTAGTGGTAAGAGCCCTAGGGACAGGGCTTTGAAAAGAGTGACTTTGAATCCATGTTATCTGTGGACTCCAATTATTCCTTCTCCTAGGAGAGACTTCCTGTGATGCTGGTGAAAGCTTTTGCTTAGTTATTTGGAATAGGTGCCCATACTCCTGGAAAGTAGGGCAGTGAATACACCCAGAGTGCTTCCATGTGGCCCCTTGCCCTCCAGGCACTTTTAGGGAGTTGACGGTCCCTGGCCAGAGTGGCTAAGAATACTTGACCAATGGACCACATGCAGTTTCCACACAATCTATTGACTTCCTAGTGTCTAGAATGAATTGAAGACACCCTCCTTTGTTCTGAATAGGCATCTGTTGGGGTGTAGGGGGGAGCGATGGTCTGGGAAGTAGGGAGGGAACCCTAAAAGGCGGAGGTCGGTTCAGCCTTGGTTTAAGGGGATTTTGGCTTTCCCCTATAATCTATGTTTCCCAAAATACCCACTCTGAACCTGGAGAGAGGTTGGGGTAGGGAGGAGGAAACCAGCTAGGACATGATGTAGGGTGCCTGGGAGGGGACTAAATTATTCAGAGGGTGGACAGGGATTTAGTTAGGGGGTGGGATCTTCAAGCGTTGGGAAGGCAGAAGGGTGGTGATGATCTGGGACCCCTGTGGTGGGGGTAGAGAGAAATTTGTGTGTGGGCAGGCTGCCCCACCCGAGTAATTGCTACTGAGGTTTCCGGGGCTGAGCCCTAAGACATAGGAATCTCTGTGTGTGCATGTATAAGACATACTGACGCTGGTGGATGGAGAGATGTAAAAACAGATGGAGAACTCTTGAGAGACAGATGTCCCTCAGTGTCCTTTCTTCTTCCCTTTAGGCTCAGAACTAAAACCTGGACCCCATGGGGGCTGGGGACTTTTCTGGTGCTACAGAAAGCTGCCATTCCCCTACCATTGTTTAAGCCTCACAGGTTATGTGAGGGGAGGGAGAAGTGGGGGGGGGGGGGAGTAATCTGACCCTTTTGATTGATTCTGTGAAAGAGATTTCGGGGGCGGGAATGAATCCACAGCTGCATATGTTATTGTGGCTAAGGGCCACAGACAGGATGAACAGGACATCTGGATATAAACACAAGGCAGAAGATATACCCTTGGGCCACCAGACACACAGATGGAAGCGTTGTTACAGAGACCCATGTTCATCAGACAGACGAGGACAGGGCCAAGTTGTATATGTCTCACGGTCTCTTCTCTTAGCCAGACACTTCTGTGGTTCCCTGCCAGCCCTTGACCTTGTGACTGATGCTCCCTCCTTCTCCCAGGTCTCTGCTCTTCCTTCAACTTGGACGATAATCATCCTCGACTATTTCAAGGGCCACCGGAGTCCGAGTTTGGATACAGTATCTTGCAGCATGTGGGGGGAGGACGTCGATGGTGAGGGAAGCCTGGGAGGACATGGGGTGTTGTGATGGTGAAAGGAACACAGCAATAAGGAAGGAGAAGAGACTGGGATTATGTTGGTGCTGATTGAGCTGGTGGGGAAACAGAAGGGTAGACCTTGGGTTAGGCCAGGATTATCCCACACGAGCCAATGATAATAAGAGGGTCATTTCCATCCAATTATTTGCAGAAGGAATGGGATGCTTCTCAGGGTTCCTGTTTAAAGTGAGGACTAAAAAGGGGTGGTCACGAACTAGGGGTTCTGGCTTTGGGGCCCGTCTTCAGTTTGCTTTAGGCTTATGCCCTTTCTTCATGCTCCTATTCATATGCACCACCTCTGTCCCACAGGATGTTGGTGGGTGCCCCTTGGGATGGACCTTCTGGGGACAGGAGGGGGGATGTGTATCTCTGCCCTGTGGAGGAGCGGCCTAATGCCTCATGTGCCAAGGGCCACCTGGGTAAGGAGATGCCCCTCCCTTTCTACCCTCTGACCCTGACCCTAGTTTTCCTGACCTCCTATTCCTCAACCTCTTCACCCCCTAATAAGCCTCCCTTCCCATGACTTCCTAAATACTCCTTCCCTCTGAACTCGTGACCCACAAACCTGTGTTCCCCAACTTCACTATCACCTCCAGGTGACTACCCACTAGGAAACTCATCGAGTCCGGCTGTGAACATGCACCTTGGGATGTCATTGCTGAAAACTGATGTGGATGGGGGGTTCATGGTGAGGTGGGAGTGAGAGGGATCATGGGAGTTAATGATCAGGGGAGTCTAAGGTGAGGGAACCATCGGGGAAGGGGGTCAGGAAGTTAATATTATGGAGACTAGGGAAGGACCAAATGCATGGGGTTTTAGCAGTGTTAGACACTATGGGGAGCAAGGGGCATTTGTACCTTCTAGGAGGGCCTTGAGAATGGGGGATGGGATGCTGCCCTGGGATCTAGGAATGACATTTCTACCCCGTTTCCCCTTCCTCAGGCTTGTGCCCCTCTCTGGTCTCGTGTCTGTGGTACCTCAGTATACAGCTCCGGGATCTGTGCCCAAGTGGATGCCTCATTCCGGCCCTGGGGGAGCTTAGCACCTACTGCACAGCGTGAGCCAGGGGGAGGGGATGGGGGAAGGGAAGAGAGCAAGCATTTATTAAGCCCCTGATGCGTGCAGCACTGTGCTAAGCACTTTGCAAATACTATTTGATCCTCACTAAAACGCTGTGAAGTCGGTGTTTTTATTACTTGCATTTTACAGATGAGGAAAAGTGAGGATTTTTGCCCACATCCTATTATTCCCAAGCCCTTTCTACTGCCCCAGCCCTCTTGCCCTGATGTCCTTTAGCCTCACCCTTCCCCTGCCTCAAAAATCTAGGCTGCCCCACCTACATGGATGTGGTCATTGTCCTGGATGGCTCCAACAGCATCTACCCCTGGGCTGAGGTTCAGACTTTCCTGCGTAGACTGGTGGGGAGGCTGTTCATTGACCCCGAACAGATACAGGTGAGGAGAGGAGGCTGAATGTGGGGGAGTCAGTCTGTGGCAGGACCAGTGTAGACACGAGAGGCATCATCAGACCTGTCTGTCCCTCGCAGGTCGGGCTGGTTCAGTATGGGGAGACTGCCGTACACGAATGGTCACTCGGAGATTTCCGGACCAAGGAAGAGGTCGTGAGAGCTGCGAGAAACCTGAGCCGAAGAGAAGGGCGAGAAACCCATACAGCGCAGGCAATAATGGTGGCTTGGTGAGGTGGGGGAGGGGTTGTGGAGGGAGGGTATGGGAGGTCCTAGGGCTGTGAGGAAGAGTAGGGTGTTGGGAAGGATTCGGGGAGAGAATAAGATGGACTGTATACGTCCTCACACTTTTGCTCATGAGTTTTGTTGGGGGGGGTGGGGGTGGGAAGGAAATGGAAGCAATTTGAAGGTAAATTGGGAATCATAATAAGTTTTTCCCTACGCTTCCCCTTTCTAGGTTTCCATTTCGTGTCTGTTTTTTCTGTTTCTGTCTCCTAGACAAATTTAATCTGTTTGATCCCTCCACAATAGTCATAGATTTGAAAGGCACCTTAGAGATCATTTACTCCAAATTCTTCCTAAAATGTAAATCCTGCTGTTATCTCACTGACAAGTGGTTTCCAGTCTCTGATTGACTGTTTCCAGTGATGGAGGACTCTGTACCAAACCAGGCAGTCCATCCCATTTTTTAAAAACTCCTAAGTATTCGGTAGTTCTTCCGTGTATTGAGATGCAATTCACCTTCTGCAAACTTTTGCCCATTTAATTTCATTTTCCCTGCCCAGGCCAAGCAGAACAAGTCTAAGGCCACCTGGTGGAAAGAGCATAGGACATTGGCACTAACTGTGTGACCCTGGGCAAGTCACTTAACCCCAGCCTCACCAAGAAAAAAAAAAAAAAAAGGAAAGAGCATAGGATGTGGAGGCAAAGGACCTGGTTTCAGATTCTGGCTTAGCGACTTACTACTTGTATGACCTTGGGAAAGTCACCTCAGTTGTCTGGACTCTAAAAAACAAGAGCTTCACCAAGATCACTTCTAAGCCCCTTCCTTCTCCAAAATTGACACCACATTCTCCATATTACTGCCCCTTTGAATAGTTGAATATGGCTGGTGGTCTTGTCCTCCCATTTCAACTGAAACTCATGATAAATGCTAAAAACAAGAAGGGCTTTAAAATATATATATGTGGGTTAGAGGCAAGAACAACCAGAAGGGGATAGATGTATTGTTTGGGGAGGATGAGAAGATGTTAATGGGTGACAGAAAAAATGCAGAACTTCCTAAATCTTATTTTATTTCTGTTTCCTTTGTCAAGGAACATTCAATTCAACAAATACAGGTTAAGCCAACTGTGTGCCAGGCCCTGTCCTAGGTACTAAAGATACAAAGACAACAGTGAAATAGCCCTGTTTCTAAAGAGCTTCCATTCATGTGCACAGATAAAAGTAAAAAGAATGCTATATGCTAGGCAGCGAATCGGACAAAGGAGAAATCAGACAAAGGCCTAGCTTTAGTAGCTGGTGGCTTCAAGGAAGACTCCACAGGAAAGATGACACCTGAAGCTGAGCCTCGGAGGGAGATAAAGAATCTGAAAGAGAAAGGACAGCTAGGCGGTGCAGTGGATAGAGCACCGGCCCCAGATTCAGGAGGATCTGAGTTCAGATCTGGCCTCAGACACATAACAATAGCAGTGTGACCCTGGGCAAGTCACTTAACCCCATTGCCTAGCCCCCCAAAAAAATCTGAAAAAGGAAAAGGAAGAGGGAATGGCACATTCCAGACAACATTCTAGCTCTTGGGACTGCACAAAGCTTGGAAATGTCATGCTGAGTTCAAGAACTATTAGTCCAGTTTGACTGGAAGGTAGAGAACTTGAAGGGGAATAATGTGAAATGAGTCTGGAAAGGTAGGTCAGAACCAGATTGCTGAGGGCCTTGAATGCCAGGCCAAGAAGTTTTATGGGATCATTGAAACAGTAGGTTTCTGAGCAAGGGGATGACATGCATGGTCAGGTATGTGTCTTAGAATGAGTGTTCTGGAAGTTATTTGAAGGGGGAATTGGGTAGGCTAGTTTGGAAGCTGTAATAATAATAATTAGTGCAGGTGAGTGTCAATGACATGCTGAACTCATGTGGTGAGGGTGATTTGAGAGGAGGTGCCTTAATATGAAAGAAGCTGGGAAGGTGTAAAGCAAAGTACTGGCACGATGTGTCAGTTCACATTGGATTGGTGAAGGAAGAGTCAGAGATGCAGCAGAGGCCACAAACCTGAGTGCCAGGATCTAAGGCAATGCTCTCAACAGAAGTGAGACTTTGGGAGGAGAGGTGAGAGATGCTGAACTGTTTGCTAAGTGGCTGAAAAGTCATCAGTGGCAAACAGGAGAGGAGCTGTAGGGCTGGAGATGTGTCAGTGTTCTTATGTTTTTAAAGGGGACAAAAGATGGATTTAATAAACTAGAGACTGGTCAGACAGATGTTCATCCCACACCCTTATTTCTCCCAAAATCTGTGTTCTCGGTTCTCTCCTTCAAAATTTGGCTCAAAACTAATTTCTTCCAGAAAATCTTCCTTGATCACCTCCTGAGCCCATCCCTTTGTTATCCTTTCAGTACTAATATACTATAGCATTTCTACTTCTTAATACATTGTGTAAGTTTCTTTAGTAAGTTGTCTAACGTTTGATTCAACAAACATATGTTTAGTATCTACTGTATGCAAAGCACTCTTCCAGGGGTAGGGGAAATGCAAAGCTTTAATCAGTGGGTCCCTGTTCTGATAAAGCTCACAATCTGGGAAGGAGATGAAATACATAGACAAATAAATCCATCTAATAGATGACCAGTGGACTAGAGAGGTATACAACAATATACTATGTGAAGTCTTCAAGTAAAAGGCCATTACTAATTTGGGAGATCAGGAAAGGTTTCATTGAGGAGACAGCATTCCAGTCATGGGAATCAGCCCCTGTGGAGGCATGGAGACAAAAGATGGGATGCCATGTGTGGGGAACAAGTAGGCCAATTTACCAGGAACACCTAGTGCCTATCTCAGGTTGGAATGATCTGTTGGTGCCAGATTATGAAGGGCTTTAAGGACAAAAAAAAAGAGGAGTTATATTTTATCCCAGAGACCCCCGAGGCTGTTCGAATGAAGACACGGGGATGAATTGGAGAAATGTTGTGGAGGTTTAATTGACTGGATTTGTCAATTTGTTGGACGTGTGGATGAGGGAGAGTGAGGAGTTAAGATGAATCTGAGGTTTTGTATCTAGGTGACTGGAAGGATGGTGGTGCCATAGATGAAAATAGAGAAATTAGGAGGAGGACTTCATATGGCATAGTGGAGAGAGCTTCTGATTTGCAGTCAAGAAGACCAGGGTTTGAATCTCACCTTGAGCCCTTAACTACCATTAATCTGGATAAATTGCTTCACTTCTCTGAGCCTCAGTTTTCTCATCTGTAAAAGGAGAGAGTTGGACTCAACCTCTGTGACCCTTTGCAGCTTTCAGTCTGTGATACCATATGTGCATTTGGGAATCATCTGATTAAGATGGTTATTGAACCCAACGGAGATGATAAAATCACCAACCAGTCAGTCTTAACAAGCATTTATTAAGTGGTATGAGAAAGAGTATTGAAAGAGAAGAGAACCCAGAACAGGGAAAACAGAGTAGGGAGAGGAGACATTCCAGAAGTAGGAAAGAACCCGAGCAAAAACATTGAGATAGGATGGTACCAGGCATGTTCTAGGGACACACCTTGACTGACACAGAGAACATGTAGAGGGGAGTACTGTATGATTGGGCTGGGCAGATAGGGTGACCCCACATCATGGAGGGCTGGTAACTCTAGGCAAAGCAGCTGGAAGCTAACTAGGTTGGATAATTATCGATATTTTCTAGGTCCATAAGATTTTCATTGAAACAAAAATGAAAATTGATCAAGTTCTAACCACTTTGCTTCCTACATTTAGCAGCAAATGTCTCTCTAAATGGCTGGTTTTTTTAAAATTTTATTTACTTTTAACATTAATTTTTTAAAATTTTGAGTTCCAAATTCTCTTCCTTCAGCTCCTCTCCTACCCACTGTAAATGGAAGATTTTTGTTAGTAAATCAGCATACTTCCTAGGAAAGGATAAAAAGAGAACCTGTGCATAAAACTTCCATCTCTAAATAAAATTACTCAAAAATATTCTTTACAGCCAACCAAGGAAGGCTAAAGACAGGAAGTACTGTAAATTCTCAGGTCTTTGTCTTGAGATGGGCCCCCACTTAGCTATCTGAGAGAGTGCCTGGGGGCAGTGAGGTGGCCCAGTGGATTGAGCACCAGCCCTGAAGTCAGGAGGACCTGAGTTCAAATCCGGCCTCAGACCAAACACTTGACACTTAATAGTTGTGTGACCCTGGGCAAGTCACTTAACCCCAATTGTCTATTAAAAAAAAGAGAGAGAGAGTGCCTACAGTGTCAGGTCAATTTATGGGTGGGCAGCAATGAAGATGGCTTTGCATTTTCTTTATAAAAAATAGATGTCTCATCTCTGACTTGCATCTGTAACATCTCATCAATTTCCCTTACTTCCCAGGCATTCTAGGGCAGTGATTGGTGGAGAAGCAAGGTGTTATCTTTGCTCCTAGATCTTACTTTGAAATCTTTTAGCATTGTAATTGGTTGAGGGTGTGAAGGAAGAGGGAGACAGTTTGACTCATTCCAGCTCCTTTGTAAGTATGTGGGGCCTGTGCTCATAGAGACAGGAGTCCATTCTCATGGCCTTGGCTGGATGCTAAAACATTTCTTTGTAGCTTTCTCTGAGCCCATGGGCTCCTGTCTCCACATAAGTGGGACTCCATGGATAAACAAAGACCAAACCTGCTCTTAAGTTTGTTCATCCTCAGAATTCCCAATTTAATTCTTCAGCCAGTCACCAGAATCTAAAGCAGCCTGTAGACAGAGTAAACAGGATAACTTTTTGCACTAATTGATCATCACTTCTTGTACTGGACTATCCCGAATCTTTGCAATGGGCCAGCAGACAATTACTGGGGGCTAGAATGGGCCTTCTGCAGTAGACATTAGGGTTCCACATGGCCGGTCTTGTGCATGTTGTTGTTATTAGTTGTTTCAGTTGTGTCTGACTCTTCATGACCCCATTTGGGGCAAAGATACTGGAGTAGTTAACCATTTCCTTCTCCAACTCATTCTACAGATGAAACTGAGGCAACCAGGGTTAAGTGACTTGCCATGGGTCACACAGCTAGTAAGTTTCTGAGGTCAGATTTGAACTCAGGTCTTCCTCACTTCAAGCCGGTGCTCTGTCCACTTTGCCATCTAGCTCAACACACAGCAGCAACAACCACAAAATAGGCCTTCTATAGTAGCCATTAGGGTGCCACCAAAATCTTTGGGTGCATTGACTTGGCCAGTCTTGTGCATAAAGAAAATTAATCTGATGAGGTATGAAGGATGGATATGGAGGGGAAAGAGCAGAGGTGGGAAGGCCTATTAGGAGATGACATCAAGAGGTTGATCACGAGGCCTGTTGTAGGATAGGACAATGGGAATGAGAAGTAGAGAGTGGATTGGAGAGATGTAGGTGAGGGAAAGTCTCCAGGGCTTGGTAAGCAGTTGTATGTGGCAGAAGGAAGACCCGTACCCAGGTATGACTCCTGTGTCCTCAGTTAGATTGTGGCTCCCTTGAAGGTAGGGATTGTGTCTTCCTTTCTTTGGCTCCCTCCATGGTACCTGCTGCACAGTTACGCATACAGTAGGGGTTAAGTCAATGGCACTGACTCATCTACTCCTTTGGCCCCTGTCTTCTTCATTTCTGTCTGTTTTTCCCCGTTAACGCTAGGTTGGCATGTGTGTATGTGTGTCGAAGGTGTGAGGCAGAAGACTCCAGTATCTCACCTCTTTCTTTCCTTCCCTGCTGCCCCAGCACAGAAGGATTCAGTCCCTCCCGGGGGGGCCGGCCAGAGGCTGCCCGGTTGCTGGTTGTTGTCACAGATGGGGAATCACATGATGGGGAGGAGCTTCCAGCAGCACTCAAGGCCTGTGAAGCTGGCAGCGTGACCCGATATGGCATTGCTGTAAGAAGCAGCGGGGAGGCGGGGTTGGGAAGGCGGAGATGTCAGGGAGGGGGGACTTCCTTACCAAAAAAAGGGGGACACTGACCGTTAACACCGCCTCCCGCGCCTGCAGACACTGGCTTTGCGTCGCCTGCACTGGCCCCCAAAGCCCCCGCTGCCCCTTACCACTCCAGCTAGATCTGCGATCCCGCCTAGGTCCTGGGTCACTACATCCGAAGGCGGCGCGACCCTAGCTCCTTCCTTCAGGAAATCAGGGCCATTGCCAGCGATCAGGGCGACAGATACTTCTTCAACGTCACAGACGAGGCTGCGCTGACTGACATTGTGGACGCCCTCGGGGACCGCATCTTTGGACTGGAGGGTAGGGCGTGGAATCTGGGCGTCTGCCTCCCGCTCGGCCCCTCCTCTCGAGCCCGAGCCTCTCCCCCGCATCCCTGTACAACCCCGATGTGGAAACCTCTACCATGAAGGGGGTGCCTGGTGAGGAGCAGCATCCCATTTTTGGACAGCTCTAATTAGGAAGTTCCCGATGCCGAGCTGACTTCCTTAACTTTAAAGCGTGGAAAAAGATGAGCTTAATGGGAATGGACATTTGGGTCAGGGAAACTGGGATTGAGAGAATTAAGAGATTGGATGCATCAGCATGCTGGCCCGGGTCCTCTGTCTCATTTTATTCTCCTGATTTTCTTTCTTACCCCAGGTTCCCATGGGGAGAATGAAAGCTCCTTTGGACTAGAGATGTCTCAGATCGGCTTCTCTACTCACCAGCTAAAGGTCAGATATTCTGTTGCTGCTGCATCCCCCCACCAGCCTCTGGTCCAGGTGACCTCAGCCCCACTAACCTCACCTGCACAGTGAATCTCTTTCCTGCTGACTCCGCCCTCAGTGACCTCATCCCTCCTAGACGAATCCTTCTTTGAAGGGTGAAGGTTCTAGGTGAATTTCCCAGGCCCCCTCAGCTACCCTTTCCCTATGTTTCCCTTTGCCTCCTCAGTAATCCCGATGACTCCTCAGTATTTCCCCATTCCCACAGGATGGGATCCTGTTTGGAATGGTGGGAGCCTATGACTGGGGGGGCTCAGTGCTATGGCTAAAGGAAGGCCACCGCCTCTTTCCCCCCCGGTCAGCGCTGGAGGATGAGTTCCCTTCTGCTCTACAGAATCATGCCGCCTACCTGGGTGAGTGTTAGGTGCATCTCAGGTAGGGAGCAGATTGAAGTATGTTTCTCTGTTTCTCTGTCTCTTTCTCTGTCTCTGTCTCTGTCCCTCTCTCTGACATGGCTAATGTAGGAATTTATTTTGCATGATTATACATATTTGTAATGGGTTTTGTTTTTCTTTCCTTCTCAATGTGAGATGAAAGGAAGAGGGAGAGAGGAAAAGAATTCAGAACTGAAAATAAAATAGAGTTTTTAAAAAGAGTGTTAGGTTGATTACCTCATGGAATATATCACTTGAAGATCCCTCCATTTGCCTTTTGAATCCTCTTCCTAAATTATTAAGATTTTCTGCCCCTCTATTGATTCCCCAATATGTCCGGCTACCCTGACTTCATGATCTCTCCCTGCCTTCCTTCCCTTCTCTTCACCCCTGTCACCCCACTTCTAGGTTACTCAGTTTCCTCCTTGATCCTCCCGGGCGGACGACGGCTGCTTCTCTCTGGAGCCCCTCGGTTTAAGCATCGTGGAAAGGTCATAGCTTTCCAGCTCAGGAAAGATGGGACTATGAATATTGCCCAGAGCCTCCAGGGGGAACAGGTGTGGACATGGCAGGAGGCATGTGTGGGGTGATGAGAGTCGCCATCCAATGGAGAACTCTGTGATGGCGTCTACAAGGGTTGAGATCCATCCATTGTGGGGAGGTCCTCAGCCGTTGGGTTTCAGATTCCCTCCCACTCTTGGAAGTTTTTCAGGGTCACTCTTTTTCCTTCCCCATGTCCCAGATTGGCTCCTACTTTGGCAGTGAACTCTGCCCCCTGGACACAGATGGTGATGGGGTGACTGACGTTCTACTTGTGGCTGCCCCTATGTACCTGGGACCCCAGTACCGGGAGACAGGACGAGTGTATGTCTACATCGTGGGCCAAGTGAGTAGGGTTAGCGTGCATTGGAGACAATGTAGAGACATTAATACCTGGGAAAGGTCGGAGGGAGGAGAGAAGAGACACCAATGAGGCTGGTCTGTGGGGTTGGGACATTTAGACTGTCATCCTTTCCTACAGCCCTTGCTGATCCTCCGGAGAATGCTGCAGCCAGACCCGCCCCAGGATTCCCGCTTTGGCTTTGCAATGGGTGCCCTGCCTGACCTCAACCAGGACGGCTTTGCAGATGTGGCTGTGGGAGCACCCCTCGAAGATGGACACAGAGGAGCTCTCTACCTCTATCATGGGACCAAGGGTGGCATCCGACCCCATCCTGCACAGGTTAGAGGAGCCGGAGGAACACTATATCGGGAGGAGGGGTGTGTTTTGGTAGTACTCATACTTGTACTGCTCAGAAAATCTGGGGATTCTTGAGTCAAACCCTGCCATTTTACAGTTGAAGAAACTGAGAGGATAGTGACTTGACCAAGGTTACACAGCTAGCTAAGGTCAGATTGAGGCCTAGAACTCTACTCTTCCAGAACCTACATTCAGATGCCTGAAAGCACTGAATCTCTATCATTTCCCTGAGATTATCTGGCTCTACACCCTCTTCAAACCTGGGTGGAGATGGCACGGATATGTTGGTGAGGTCCAGGGAGAGCAGTGCCTTGAGAAGTACGGGGGATGTTTTTGTGGCCCCCTCCCCCCTGCCCTATTCCTGGTAGTGGTCCTTGAGAGGATTGGAGGAGAGCCAGAAGGAAGAATGCTAGGCAAGGGGTGAGGCATTCATTGTCTGAGAGACCTTGCCCCAGTCTCTTGTCTCCTGTCTCCTCCCAGCGCATCTCAGCTGCCTCCATGCCTCAGCCACTCAGCTACTTTGGCCGAAGTGTGGATGGACGACTGGACCTTGACGGGGATGAGCTAGTGGATGTTGCCGTGGGGGCCCAGGGGGCAGCTGTACTGCTCAGGTGTGGGGCCAGAGGTCAAGTGCCAGGTTTCTCTTGGGGAGAGGGGGCTCCTGGATGTCCTTCCCTTAATATTCAAATTGAGGAGGAGCAATGGGACATAGAATCACAGAATCTCAGTTTTTGGAGGTCAAATGTCTTGGAGATCTTGGGGAGGCAGTCTTGGTAGGTTCTCCTCCCATACACTTCTTATCCCATACCCCTGGGATCTTTCCCTCAACTTTATCAGCTCCCGCCCCATCGTCCACCTGGCCCCATCACTAACTGTGACCCCGCCAGCAGTCAGTGTAGTCCGGCGGGATTGTCAGCGACACGGCCAGGATGCTGCATGCTTGACCGCCGACCTCTGCTTCCAAGTAACCTCCCGAACTCCAGGCCGCTGGAATCGCCACTTATGTAAGCAACCTTTAGGCATATGAGTAACCCACAATCCCTTCTGTGTCCCAAATGCCTTCTTCTAACCCTCGACCCTTTTCTTTCCAACTCTCTTCTCTAGACGTCCGGTTCACTGCCTCCCTGGATGAGTGGACAGCTGGGGCCCGTGCGGCATTTGATGGCTTTGGCCAGAGGCTGCCCACCCGGCGGCTGAGGGTCAGCGTAGGGAATGTCAGCTGTCAGCAGCTGCATTTCCATGTGCTGGTGAGGAAGGGGTTGAGGCTCAGAGATGACAGGCAATGGAAGGAGGCCCAGGAGGCCAATGGGATAGAATAAGGTTGGAGGTCTGAAAGGAGTCAGGACTACGTATGTGTTCCTTGACCCTGTTTTGCTATGACCCTCGGTCTTACTCCCTTCAGGATGCATCTGACTACCTCCGGCCAGTGGCCCTAGCTGTAACATTTGTGCTAGATAACACCACAAAGCCAAGGCCGGTGCTAGATGAAGACTCACCCACTTCTCTTCGAAAGCTGGTTAGTCACTGCTAATCCCCACCCTGACCTTGGCTTCTAACACTCCTCTGCCTGCCGCAGTCTTCCGTTCAGACTTTGTTCACACCCCTGTGCCCCAATGCCATCCATCCCATCGTGGGGCAGGGGAGAGAGAGAGGAGATGGGAGCCGTCGGAGTGACGTGACATCTGACCTTGGGACAATGTGTCCAGTCCTTCCTGGTCATCCCTGCCCCCCTGCTCTCTCCTGGCTCCTCTATTCCTGGCTTCTCCTAGTTTTCCAGCCCTTTTTATACTCCCTTGAACCTCTGTATACCCTTTTCCCTCTCCCTAGGTACCTTTCTCAAAGGACTGTGGGCCTGATAATGAATGCAATACAGACCTGGTACTCCGGGTAGACATGGACATCCGGGGCTCCAGGTGTGATAGAAGCAAACTGGGACACTGGGACCAAATGGAAGGGAAATGGATGGACAGGGTAGAGTGGGGCAGGGGAAAGAAGGTGAGGGGTGGCGTGTCAATCAATCAACAAACAATTATAATAATAGCCAGCATTTATGGGGCACTTTAAGATTTCCAATGTGCTTTAAATATGTGTGTGTGTATATATATATATGTATGTATATGTTTGTGTCGGTGTATGTACGTACACAGACATATAACATTTTATCCTCGCAAATATCTGAGGAGGTAGGTGCTGTTATTATCCTCCTTTTACAGATGAGGAAACTGAGACTGGGCAAGGTAAAGGGACTTGCCCAAGGTCACGCAGCATTCAGGTGCTTGGGATGTAGGGCTTCCTGACTCCAGGAGCAGCATCTCACCCATGCGGCCACCTGGATGCCTCTTTGTCAAATAAGTACTATGCACCAGACGCTGCTCTAGGATTTGGAGATTCAAAGACACAGAGCAGCCCTTGCTCTTCTCAAGGATATGATGGTTTTAGATAATGGCTGGATTAGAAATCAGGAGGTGACGGTCCTAGGGATGACTCCAGTACCAAATCATTTCATGAACTTTCCAAGCCTTTTACATTTCTCTGGGCCTCAATTTCTCTAAAGTGAGATTGAATTAAATGATCTAGTGGGATTTCTGGGACTCCTGGAGCTCCCCTGTCAGCTCCTTGACTAGTTCCCTTACTCTACTTTTAGGAAAAAGCCGTTTGTGGTTCGAGGTGGGCGGCAGAAGGTGCTTGTGTCAGCAGCTCTTGAGAACAGAAAGGAGAATGCCTACAATACTAACCTGAGCCTCAGTTTCTCCAAAAGCCTCCACCTGGCCAGCCTCACTCCTCAGGTGCTCTGGGTGGAGATAGAAGTAGGAGCAGAG